GTCTTGTGGTCACACAAGAGGTTGAATCTTGTCTACACCAAGGTTAAGCGGGTTTATTGGATGGGAGAGGGCTACCTCTCATTGTGCAGACTAGGTTCCTTGCCAGTTTATATGGGGAGGTTTAGAAGTAGCAGAACGGACTGATAAACTCTGCTCCTTCAACATAAAACCCATGTGTATCCTAATTAAGTTGAAACATGCCAAAAAGAAGTAATATATAGGGCAGTTGGGTTTGAATGCAACCAAAGAACAGAATACGAACCTAGTCGTATAAACACCTGCGGCCAGTGCTGTGGCACCTCCAACGGTCATAACCAACTTATTCCTATCAGTCAACAAAGTTCTAAAACCCCCTGCAGATACCAGATGAGACGATTATATCATCAAACATTATCGTGAAGTCAAAAATATGATATCAAACAAATGTGTTCCAACGAACTCAAGATAAAAGTGGCACTATTGCCACCACCAGAGAAATTAGAAAAGACAACATTTTACTCAATCTGTCTGAAGCAACAGTTGGTTATTCATGTACATAATATGAGCCTCAGATTTTTTCCTATAAAATAAAACACAGCTACTAAATTTTGCATACCTTCAATGTGACTAAAAGCTGTATTGATTGCAGCAAGCCATTTTTCTTTTTCACCATTCATCCGCTCTATAAGCATTCTCCTGTTATGGTCCTCAGTCAATTTTGCCTCATGGGCCCGACCTTCAGCCTCTGCTATGGCCTTTACTCTAATGGTTTCTCGTTCTATTTCAGCTCTCTCTTTCTCGGTTTGACGCTGCTGAGCTTGGATCTGCTCCTCTGTAGCCTGTCTTGCTCGCTCTTTTCGCATGGAGGACTCTTCTTGCATCCTAGCCAACTCAACATTATGCTGCCTCTGGGCTTCATGATCTGTCTGCATTCAAGTAGACAATAAAGTAAGGTTTCAATAACCAGGAGTTAATAATTGAATATTAAAAGATAAAACAAACCTATCTTTTCTTGCTCCAGAATTAGAGAGTAGTTACAGACTTTACCAATGTTTGAGAATTTGTTAAACCAACTACTGACTTGACCAATTTTTTGGTAAGAGAGTACCTACTCTCTTGATTATAAGCAAGACATGCCAGATTTATATAGACATATTCTCAAAATATGCCCACCACCATTGAGAGCTAATAGTGACTCCCTTCAGTGGTAAGAACTTATAAAGTCTAAGTGCTAGATACCATAAATTCTTAGATAAAGAACACATAATTTATTCCACTGCTTGCACCTGTAATCTTTTCCTAGCCAGTTCATCTTCATAACGAAGCATTTGTGCCTTTGCTTGTGCTTGTTGTTGCACTATATTTCGTTGTTCCTCAGCCATTTTCCTCTGCCTTTCCTGTCAATAAAAAAACTATGCAGTATAAGTTAAAATTCATAGAGGAAAGATAAGACACAGCAAACCACATTTATTCTCTCACAAGATTGATTAGCATGCTGGCTTTCACAATTTGCTAAACCTAAATGCTAAAAACCTAGAACATTATATGTTTCATTAATTGAAAACAAATTACCTAACCCAAGGTACAACAAAGGAAAGGACCAGGAGCCAATCTCGTGTGATAGTTATCTTTGAAATAATAACACCACAAGATGACTAAAGTTCCAAGATGGATAAACTTACAATATCACTTTGAGCTTGTATTGCTTGATGATGATTCTTCTCTGCTTCCGACTCAGCAAGGCGAGTTTGTTCCTGCTTCCTCATCAGATCAAAGACCTGGAGAACAAGACCAAGTGACCAATTTAACACCTTTAACATACTCCATGTAAAGATTAATCTCAGATCATAATTCAGTTGCGTTGAAACCTCATGCAGAATAAAAAGAAAAACACATTTCAATTCATATGCTTCAATGGCTCCAACAACAACAAAGGTAGAGCCGTGGGCATAGTAATTGTAGGAACACATACAGATAAAACTAAGGACTCCTACCAAATGGCTACCGAAACACGTGAAGCCAAATTATAGAAACAAAAGGAACAGAAAATCAGGAATTAAGCATTCTGATTTCATCCCTCATTTCCTTCTTAGTGATACAATAGAGCCCTAAGACTAAAACAGTTGTATCTTTCTTCTATTTTCCATCCTTTTTCTCAGAAAACAAACACCAACGAAAAATTTCAACTTCAGCAACATTTAAATTACCTGCTTGGCGTATTTCGAGGAATTGATTTTCCGGAGAGCTTTGGCAGCTCGTTCTAAAGCCTCGGGATCCATCCCCGACCCTCTGGGCTCTTCAGCTTCAGGCACCGATTGCGCATTAGAGCTCTGGTTCGTTGGCTCAGCAGAAGGAGAAGAGGATGAGAATGGATTAAAACGGAAGGGAGACTCGGCGTAGGCGCGGTTGGAGAGCGCGGGCATGGAAGCCACCGCGGCGACCGCCATTGCTATGCACGAAGATATTTTCGAGGCAGCCATGGATAAAGGTTCGAGCTTTGCTTTTGATTGGATTTCTAAGTTCGAGAATTCATGGGCGTAAACTCAAATGTCTCAAATGTCTGTGCGAGCATAAACCTCTTTCAACCTTAAACCCTGAACTCTAGGGTTTAAACGGAAACATTGAAAGGTACTCGCTCGGCCCTTCTAGGATCTAGGAGGGAGGGCTTGCGTGGAGAATAAACCAATTAACCAACTGGGACATACACGTGGACCCACTGTAGGTCAAGGATTGTTTGGATACACTTGGTCCATTATCCTGACCGGGTTTATGGTATCTCTTTCTTCAAGGGTACAAAGTGGACTGGGAATTTGGGGTCGAACCAAAATGATATACAAAAGAGGCTGACCCAAATGATTTACAAAATAAGCCCAACTAGGGGATATGGTGAGGGAGTTATTCGGTAGTGAAGGCTTCATCTAAGGATGTTAAATGAGATCTTATCTCCCAACCGTTAGATCAAATTAGTTAGTTGTTTGATCAAATTAGTTAGTTTAATTCAATGATTAAAAAAATAGGGCATCATCTGCTAAGGGCCTTAGGCCCTCACTATAAAATTCTACTATGGTGGACGGATGTACTTAATGGTTTAATTTAATACAAATTTATAAATAAACCCAATCCTAGACATGTATTTATAAAAAAACCCAAATACTATTTAAACATAGAAACACACCCAAAATCAACAATTGTATATTTTTTGGGTGTGTTTATAAATGGGTTTTGAGTGTGTGTAATGATGGGTTTTGGGTGTGTTTATAAAGTGTTTTGGGTGTTGGGTTTTTTTATAATTTAAGCTCCCATTTTGGGTGTTTTAGTGAAACTCCCTTAATTTAATTGTTCATTAATAGTTCTGCAATTGATTTGATGGCTATTAAAGACCCGTGAGGCAACAAAGTTTGTGGCATGTATGTTAGAGCCATTCCAGCAAGGAGCCTAAGCCCGAGGCTTGGGGGAGGGGGGGTGTTGCGCGAAAAACCCATTTCCAGTTGGCCACTGCTGCTCGGGCAGGCTATGGGACCCATGAGCACGGGCTGGCTCGAAGGCAGGTTTCACCCGAGCTGAAGCTCTAGGGGAGGATGATGTCATGCATGACGTCATCACGCGGAGTTCAAATTTTTTTACCATAGGCGCATGCAATGCACGCGCCAACGGTAAAAAAAATTTGAACTCACGTGTGCTGACATCAGCCCTGCGCATTTCCAACGGCTAGAAGACACGTGTCTTCGCCTGGGCGCTCCGATCTGCTCCGACTCCAATCCAACGGCTGGCCTTTATTTGGCAATAAAATTATGAAAATTTTTTTTTTTTTTTTAAATACCAAAAAATTCTGAATTTTTTTTCTTCTATAAATACCTATCAATACCCTTGACTTTCAACACCAATCCTCATACATTTTCTTCTACTTCTACTATTATCCACTCTTACTCAACATTTTATTCTCTTTCAAATTGTATTTTTATTTCTTATTGAAATTTATCTGAATTTTGAATTTTGAAATTCATCCAAAATTTTGAACCCAAAAATTTATTTGAAATTTGAATTTTGATTCATCCAAAAATTTATTTGAATTTTGAATTTTGAAATTCATCTGAAATTTGAACCCAAAAATCTTATCCGGAAATTTTATCTAATTATGAATAGTCTTAACACGTAGGAACCTGAAAATATTATCCAAATTAATTATTGAGGTAAAAAAATTTGTGAAAAAAACAAAAAAATGAATAGTAATTAACATTTGTCATGGCAACGGGCGGAAATGGAAATGGCTTTTTGCAAGGGCAACCACTATTCATGTGAATAGTGGCTGCCCTAGCCCCTTTTTGCCATGGCAAAGGGCAAATGGGTGGAGTTGCTCTTATATCCAACATAATTGTATAGCTCTAGCAGCCGAAAATATTGATAATTTATTTCACATGTCAGAATTTGAATTCACTCACTCCTTTGACTTCTCCCTTAACTAAATTAGTGCTCAAGTTAGAGGCTATAATATAACATTTAGATTCCCCTCGTGGCCGTCTTTCTTGGTTGAATACTATAGTCCAGAATCTGTCAGGTCAGCCATCAAGTTCTCTACAACCTTTTTGACTTTTTAGATTCCATCAAGCTTCCCCATAGATATTATTATCATTTAATTATCATTCATGATTATGTTGATGTTGATGTAATTAAGTCAATAATCACATCCATTTAGATCACTTTGCATGCTCTGATTGCCGTATAGCTCAAGTTGCATGCTCTGATTGCCGTATAGCTCAAGTTTTCTCTACCATTCCAGGAGAACATCTTCATTTTTCTAGCCTACATTGTAATTGTGCTGTGCTGATTGTAGTACAAATCTCATCCCCAAGGATGGGGAATTCAAGCTGGACAACAATAGGGAAGGGATGAGATTGGGAAAGGGACAAGACCACCCCATTTGACCCCTGCATCTATGGATTAACAGAAAGGAAAGAAATATGCTTTTGCAAACGTCATAATCATACAAGTACTAAAAATTTCATACACAAATACATGGTGCTTGGTACACTGAAAAGCCATAACAATAGTTCACTTAGTTGCACAAAACCCAAACTGCTTCATTTACATACACATCTGCATCTGCTACTTTTCACAAGTTTGCATCTTCAACTTCATTGAAACGTTAGATATCATATACTTGAAGACCCTGCAAGGTGGAATTTTTTTTGTAGAGAAACGAAAGTTTCAGTCTGCAGGGAGACTTTAAACCAGCCTGCAAAAATGTGAAGAATTCCAAAAAGTTAAATCCAAGCATAGGCAAAAGCCAAAAGGTTCATATGGGTTGCAAAGAAAGGATAAAATATTGAGTTGGGTATGCTAGAGAATCCTCATCAGGCCAATGTATTAGGTCCATAGGAGCATTGGCACATGTTATCCAAAAGGAGGTAGGATTAGATCAGACGTGGGCTTTCTTTGGCCTAGAGACAGGATAAGAAGTTGAACTAGTGTGGTCAGGTATTTCCTGTTTGCATTAAATACATTGTATAATGATAAGTAGTTAGGTGAGGGAGTAGGATTTTAGCCTATTGATTAGTTGCAGAAAATGATGGACCACACTGAGAACAAGCACTTCAGAAGTACTTCTCAATTTCACTTTCCTCGACTTTTCTGTTGTCCACACCAAAAAATAAAAGAAAAAAGGAGATAGTAGGAGGGACTAGGAAATGGAGATAGTAGATACATAACTCAACCAGCTGTTCCCATGGCTACATGAACTCAAGTGTGGACAGATACAACTACCCACATCAGAAATGGTGTTGCCCATCTTGTTCATTTTAACCGGGAACAACCAGCATTCTGTCATTAAGTTCATAAGTCATATTGCAACATATCCTTTGAATACAATCCAGTTTAATATAGTCCAGTCCGGTCCAATACAGGGTACCAGAAATGGTCATTTGTTTATGGATTGCAAAGCAAAATGTTAAAAGAGAAAAGGAAGAAGAAAAAAAACAGTAGAGAGGAACTAGTTAAGTACCGCTGCCATTCAAAGTTCAAACTATTGGCCTTATTAGTCGCCCCGGTAACGAGGAAATGGGACTCTGCCGGCCTCAATGTGATTGACATCCTCAAGGAGGATCTCATAGTGCTGCTTCACCTCCTCAGCAGATTTCCCACCCACAGCTCTGGCAACCTTCTGCCAGCGGTCCGGGGTATCCTTGTCATACAAAGCCAGGGCCTTTTCGAACTGCTTGTTTTGCTTAGGAGTCCACGAGGAGTTAGAGTTTCTTGAAGAAGTAAGTGAGTTGGATGCCATGAAAAGCACTTCTACAGATAATCTAAAAGCACTTGTTAAGAAGAGGTACTAGACTGAACCCAAAAGGAAGGGAAAGAAGGGAAAAGAATGGTGGTTTTTTTGCCTTCTAAGTCAAGGAAGATTGGTTACTTGAAGACTGAAGTCAAGGAATGGCTTGAGAAAATAGATAACCAATTGTGCTCCTTATAAGCAGGAGGAGAAGCCTAAAAATGGATGGTGGGGTTAAGCCAGTTGGCCGAATATATCTTCCAAAAGGGCAGAATATGAAGTGACCCGTTCCCTTAAGAGCCACAAGATGAAGCAGGACAAGGAACATCAATTGCTAGAGGAGAATCAGTATGACAGGGCTGGGGGCCCTTCTGTTTTATTTTATTTTCACTGGAACTATATTCCTTTGATCTAATGACCAGCAAGTTGGTCCTCCTTTATTAGTTACTGGCCAGTTCTTGTTATTAGCTAGCCCACTGAAGCAGACTCATTTGAAATACTGGTAATTGCAGCAACTGAAAACACATAATGTATCAGTACTTGCTTGGCTGCTGTAAACAGATATTTGTTTTCCATTTTTCTTTTGTTTATATTGCTTTTGTTTGGCAAGATGGTTCTTTTTTTTTTTTCCCTTTGTTTGGTTTGATCCATATAGTTCTTCAGCACTAACAGGCCAATGGGTTCATCTTAATGTAGGTACTGGTCTAACTAAAGCATTATTAGTGGTGCAAAATTAAAGCTGTATATATTCCAGAATTTCTCCCAAATAAGGATAATAGGAATATGACTAATAAAAGAGAGAGAGAGGACACTGATAGCAGCAATACGTTTTTAATAAGCAAAGGGCCCTTTTGGGATAAGATTGCAACTTGTATCATCTCCTTGTCATTGCTAATTATCTGATTTTGACATCAATTTGTTTGCCATTTGAGTGTTAATGACTATTATATGCTTTTAATCATTTTCCAAAAACGGGAAGCTTGTGCAAGAACAGATAAAACCTACTTGAGATTCTGGTCAAGAAATTAAGATTGTTTCTAGTGTTCATTACTTCATAAATCTGCCTACTTGTTTGCCTTTTTAAATGGAAGAAAGTCAATGCAGAATACAAGAGTTAGTTGATTTTCCATGTAATTTCTCCATCCCCATCCCATGTTTGGAAATGGGCAAGTCTTGGTATTTAAGATTGTATGTCAGCAGTATGAATATGGTTCAAAAGCAGAGCCTATAAAGGTTCCATCTTTTGCCTTTTGGGTTTCAGATTCCAATATTGTTTGAAAACTTCCTGCACAAATGGAGGTAACTATCTGCTATGCAATTCACATGGTATAAGGGTCAATATGAATTCGACTGGACCACTTTCGAATCTTGGACGATCTCCTTGCCGATATTTCTTTTTCAGGCTGCTTTGTTGTTCTTCTTTTCTCATTTTTATCTCTGGTAAAACATATCTTGGTGATCTTTGATTCTTCCACTTGCTATTATTCCAAACAAGATATGGACTCATTTTCTTGGACCAAAATCTATGGCTGCTTGGAATGTTTGGTATATTCTTGAGATAAATCGCTAATTGGCTGATACCTTTTGCATGCAAGTTGCATATTATTTTGTTTCATTGCTACAGAGTCTAGAATCTGCAATAGTTTAGATTTCTTGGCTCACAAAGCAGAAGCTGGGATTAAGAATCATGAATTTCAACTCTCTCAACAAATCATTGGTAGATAAATATATGCTTAATTTTACTTTGATAAGGAATTATACACTTTGGCAATTTGAACTTGTGAGAATATTATAAATGTTTTTAAATCTGGAGATTCGGGATTCGGGATTCGGACTTGACACTTCTTGTAAACGAATAGAGCAAAATTATACCACTAGATTAATAATTAACTGGAAAATGTTTTTTAGCTTTAATTTGTTGATCCAAGTCCCTCAAAATCATCCTAAAAAACACAGCCACAAAAATCTAGATATTGTGCTGTGTCACTATTGTTGAGGTCGGTTGATATGATCATTGGTTGAGAGGGACTTTAGGAAAAGTAGAGGGAGAGAATCTGTACTCATGTACTGCCACTGACCCTTACATTCAAATACATCATTAATCTTTTGCAGATATATATATATATATATGTGTGTGTGTGTGTGTATAACTGGAATCTTTATCACCTCATCACAAGTCTACGTCCATCAAAGTAAATATGCATGCCTATAGATTCCTTTTGCTTTTACCCATATAGCTGTAATAGTCTTGCAGATATTTTTGTCTCCCCATTCTTTCTAATTTGCTCTGTGAAATTTGATGGGGATTAAAAAGTTGTGAATGGAACATATATATTTTTGTGCATCTTTATACCGAAATTCAATTCGATTTTTCATGCTTTGAGCTCTGCAGGTTGCTTGCTCCTGATGAAGGCATCTCTATCTGCTAAGCTAGCGTAAGCATGAGAACGAACCACCCTTTTAAGAGGACCAAAGTACACAAAATTCCTTCATCTTTAAATAGTTTTCTAGTGACTCTGAATCTGCTTCTTTAGAGTATTCACAATGGGCTCTCTAAACCACCTTTTTAGACAAATTTTAGGAAGGAATTGTAAAAATGCAACTCCAACCATACTCTCTATCCACCTCCTAAAATAGGGAATCCTCTAGGAGCTCCTAAATCTGAGGAGAGAGAAAGAACTCCTAGTGGCTTCCTATAATTTAATGCTTTTTTATTTAATAAATATTTCAAACCTTTATTTAATGTTAATTATTTCTTATTTTATTTTTTAATAGAGATGGACCAATTAAAGAAGAGTTATAGCATTTATGACTTTCCAAAGTATGGAGTATGGTTGGAGTTGAATATTTTTAAAGAGCTCATAAAATAGCTTTCTTATATTTTTAGCTAAATTTTAGCTAAGAAATAGAGAGCATGATTGTGGATACTCTTAGTGATTCAGTTTCCAAATGATCGGCACATTGGAAAAGACCTGTGTGTTAATTAGCATATATAGACTAGTCGCATCACTTTGTACCTTTGTGATGTGGAGTACACATAAACACAACGGCACACACCATTTATTTCAAGGATAAGTTCCATGCACCATTGTTTTTGTTGAGAGTGTTTGTATTACATTCAAAAGTTAAGGGACCTAGATGAATTTGGCTATTCTCCCCATTGCCAATTGGCTTTTGGGTGGAATTTCAACTTTTTTCATAGTATCAAAACAATGTTTCACGTGTTTGGCCCAATGACCATACGTGCTCCCACGTCACCCAATATGTATTGTGCGAGTGTTGAGTTTGTTTCACATTAAAAAGTTAAAGGCCTAGCCTTTTGTTCTTCCTCCACAAGTCGATGTTCTTGGAGGTGATAAAAGGTCTGCGGCTTGAACGGGTTGGACAAGATACAATCCAATTATTGTGAGGGATTCTGAGGGACCTGATTTGAAACATACCAATTACTTCAGGTTACTCAAATTTCAACCACTGATTTGCTTGTGCAATGTTTCTGTTCTAGAATTAGAACCATGTCTAGCTTTTTCGGAGTTGGTTTTGGTTCTGAACTGGAGTTTGGTTTCGTCGTGTGGCCTGCATATGGTTGATTTGCTTTTGCTACAAAGATTGTCTATTGACAATTCACAATAGTTTCTGTGCTAAAATGGATGCCTGTTCATAGCTGTTGAAACCATGCGACCAGAGGGCGCAACTAAAACCATGCGAGCTTTTAGGGGTTAGCCTATTATGTGAAATCCAAACCCAGCTCACGTTCCCTATCGGCAAGAGGAGAAGTCGTAACTAAAACCATGCGAGCTTTTAGAAGCGTTTTTTGAAAGGTGGTCGAAAGTTTTGTCACTGCAAGTCATTTAGGCCAGTTAAAAGGTGATGCGTGCAACACACAGAAGAATCTTGTTGTCAAAGAAAGCTAAATCCATCCATGGTTTCGTATGTGAGCAACTTGGAAACGTAAACCCACAAGCCAGATAGATAAGCCCTGGCTTCGATTTTACAGTGTGAAAATGATGGGTTACAAAAAGCAAATGAGATTTAAGATCAAATTTTAAGGGCCATTGTTTTTGCACGTTGTACTTTGAAGCCCTCACACATGCACTTCTACGGTTTTTTTCTGTTTGATTTGGTTTGATTTTGCGGTTTTAATGCCCACCCTTAATGGTAATAATGCATTTCCAATGTTCCCTTCCCTCTACGTTTAATCGTACCCCATGCTTATTGTGTCGAGGGCCTTTGTCTCTTGGATGCTTCTTAATCTCAGATTTTTTTCTGCTAGTAGACCCCACACGTCACCACTCACTTGGTCACTTTAAAAGGTCCCTTTTGCTGTCATAAAGCCACACCCAAAGGCCAATGGGGTCAGGCCTTTCTGAATGGTTCTCATTCTATTTGGATTTTTTTTCCTTCTTTCCTTGAATTAGAAAACGAAAGTTTGATGGCTTGCAGATGAAATGGTTTTTTTTAGTACAAACAATAGTATGTACAGTATAGGAGAGGGGTATTTTTCACATACACAATTAAGATATTTTGAATATGAAATCTCTGGTCTGCAAGTCAAGATCTTTTTTCATTAGGTTAAATCATGTGAATGTAGTTCAAGTGATTAAGTTAAGAGCATTTACATTTACCCATGTTCACCAGTTTTTTTTGTTGGTTAATACGGTTCTAGTATTTGAAGACTCTTGTTGAGACTTCTTCAATATAGCCTGCGCTGGGGGGGGGGGGGGCCCGGTGGGGTTTGGCATTTTGCCTCAAATTGGAACCGAATTCAGTACTATTTATCCAGTTCGGTTCGGTCCAATTTTAACAAAAAAAAATTATAAAATTGTTAGGTTTCGGTTGAATCGGTTTTGGTCCGATTTAGGTCTAGTTCGGTTTTGAACCGGATTATTATTATTATCTTTTCAAATTATTTTTTTATATACAAATTTCAACTTAAAATTTATTTTTTTGGCTTGAAAATTAACAAATTATTCAATTTCATACAAAAAGAAATATTAAGGCTAGAAAAGAAAGATGTTTTGAAATTGAACTTGGGTAAATATTAGTTATGAGATTAAAAATATAGCATTGGATATAAATAAATATTAAAATTATATATTTTTTAATTTGGGCGGTTCGGTTTGTTAGGGGTATAGAACCGAAATGGAAACCGGTTAGAACCGATTTGGTTCGATTGATTGGTTCTTCGGTTCCGATGCCCACCCACCCCTAGCCTGTGCATTTGAAAGGTCAGCTTCTTTTGACGTTTTACAAATGGCCACTCAGATTCACAAGAACCCACCATCACAGCCATCGCTCCCATTTAATTAATTTACAGTTTATTAATAAGGGGAATGCTAGCAACCTTCTCTCTAACCTTTTCCTTTTGACCTTATCTTTGTTTTGCTTGACATATATCATTCTCCTTACACTTAAAATAATGTCATTAATATATTATGCAAGTTAACTTTTGCTTTCCAAGTTTATCCGTATTAAATGTATTCAATTTATCCAAAACAAAATCACAACTTTCTTACCATCTTTTTTTTTTAAAAAGTCAAATTTTTTTTTTAAAGAAAATGTTTGTTTAAAAAAAGAAAGAAAGAAAGAGGAAATGTCCCTTTTTAAAAAAAAACACAAAGGACTTTTTTTTTTCCTTCTATATAAACCCTTTGTGTTCAAAAAAAAGAAAGAAGAGGGGACATTTCCTCTTAAGCATATATTTCTTTAAAAAAAATTAATTAACGTTAGAAAAAAATTAATAAGATGGTAAGAATGTTGTAAAATTTTTGTGGATAAATTGAATACATTTAATAAGGGTAAACTTGGAAAGCAATAGTTAGCTTGTATAATATAATAATAACATTGTTTTAAGTGTAAAGAGAATGAAACATGTCAAGCAAAAAATGGAAAAAGTCTGAAGGAGAAGGTTAGAGAGAAACAATCAGATTCTATAAGGTTGAGCCCAAGCTACCACCATTTCACACGGTGAAATTGATCACAGCCGTGACAGGCATGTCATGCTGCTTCAATGTTGTGTGATGTCTGCGAGTGAGACGGAAGAACCCACTGGGTCTTTGCTCTCTCTCTTTCTCTCACTTTGTGACAAAGACGACCAGTACAACCTCGTGCTCCTTGACTGCTCTCTCTCTCTCTCTCTCTCTCTTTTTCTTGTGTTATAGTTAGTCGAAGTCTTAACACAACCAGATAAAGCTTGTGTTTTCAATGAAGTTTTTCGTTTTGTTATGTGATGTCTGCGAGTGAGACAGAAGAATCCACTGGGTCTTTGCTCTCTTTCTCTCACTTTGTGACAAAGACGACCAGTAAAACCTCATGCTCGTTGACTGCTCTCTCTCTCTCTCTCTCTCTCTCTCTCTCTCTCTCGTGTTATAGTTATTCGAAGTCTTAACACAACCAGCTAAAGCTTGTGTTTTCAATTAAGTTATTCGTTTTGTTTGTAGTGCAAAGACTCGGTTGCCCCTAGACTCCAACTGCTAGTCTCCCTTGTGGGCATGCTTTACTTTCTGTGATAAAGATTACCCCTTTTTTTCCTGGGTTGTTTTCTGCTTTGGATATAGAAGCTACGCACTTTGATTGGTGCTCCTTGCGTGGTTTTCTGGGCTTCTTAAAAGTTTGTGTAAAAATACTGTTTGTTCTTTTACTTTCTCGTATATGGGATGGTTTATCAGTACAAGAAGCTGAATTCTGCTTGAAATTTGACAACTTCTTTGAGAATTCTTGTCGTTTAAGAGCTAGTCTGTAGGCAGTGGGTACTTTTGTGTTATTGTAGAGACTTGGAGTTTCAAGGGGTTGTGAAAGGTGGATATATTGGAGGCCATATTTTGTGGGTTATATGAATTGGGTTGTGGTTATTTTCAATTTTTAGCGTATCTTTGTGGGCTGAAGACTGAGGAAGGAGCTTGTGAACGTAGCTCTACTTTCTGTGTCACTTGGTGAGTCCATTTTTTCTTATTTTTGTTTTTCTTAGATAGTTGCCATCAAGTTTGGTCTCTATTTTATATATGGCTCAAGTTATAGCATACATCAGATCAGAGCTTCTTAATATATAGCTTCATTGGTATGTTATATAAAAAAAGAAGCAAAACAGAGATTGAAAGGGTCCTGGACAAGTTTTTGCAGTCTTCAACTTTATTCTCAAAATCTATCAAATAGCTCCAACTCAAGTATAATTCAAATGATGAGTGGGCTATAACTTTGTGATTTATAACAGTAATAGTTGTTTAGGTGGGAAATAGAAAATCTTTAATATAAAGCACAATAAGATTGCATGTACTTAAAATTGTCAGTCATGAATGCTGATACATGAATCTTTGTGGTGAAATGATTCCAAACAGGAACATTACCCAGTTGAAGCAATCAAATATGGTCTTCTGCAATGATTATTTGGTTCCCAAATTCTGTTACTGGTTAAATTTCTTTTCTGCGGCATATATTTGAAAATGATTTTGTTAGGACCTCTACCAAACTCTGCAAATTGTTCTTGATATGGGAGTGTGAAAAACTTTATAATCTAAATTTAAGTTGAGTGTTTCTTTTTTATGGATTCTTGACGGTTCCCGTTCATTATTTGCATAATTGATGCCTTAACTCGAAAATAAAGTTTTGCAATTTGCTGTTGCTTAGAACTCGTACCGAAGTCACATTGTTTTGCATACGGGATGCATGTTTACAGAATGCTGACATGTAACTGTTTCACAATATTAGATTTTCTGCATAATATGTACAGAGATATGGTTGAAACATATGAAAGTAACCATCTTTTTCTTGTTATTGAATACCCAGATATGAGATAATTCCTCTTGAATGGGTACTGATGCTGCTGAAGGGGTGGAGACTGTGAGAAAACCCCATTCCTTTAAGGTGTGATATGCCACACTAGTTTCTTATTTTGTTTCATATGGGATGTCCAACTTTGAATATGCATTCACCTTGTAGTTATGGATTCAATGTCTGATCAGCTTTAATCACATATGACAAGAAACAACCTTTATTTTTATTTTTATACATATATATATTTTTAAAATTTAACAAAACTAATGAAACTGTGAATTGCTCTAGTTTGTATTTGCTTTGATGTATGAAATATAAAGTTCAAATGTATACAAAGTGTAGTTTTATACATCTTCCCTACTAATAGTTGGTTTTTGAAAGGAAGATAATAGCTGTTGAGCTTCCAGTAGCTGATATAAAACTTGGGACAAGAAAAGCCACCCAAAAACTTGTACTGATATTTCTTCAAGATGACAGAATATGACCCTAATAATATTTCTGTATTTTGGTGGAAAAACAAAAAGAAACGTTAGGGTGTATCCAATTGAGAACTAGTATTAGGAACATGACAAATGATAAGGGTTCCTTGTAAAACCTAATGGATTCTCTAAGGAATCTCAGACTTGAGATAGTTGTGTCCTTGAACATTTTAAGTGCATTTATCTAATTGTGTGGTCATATTAGTTGGATTTCTACAAAATTGTTATTCATGATAACAGGTTCATCGTTTGATGTGCACGGAACTTATGAAGTTGGTAGATAGAATTTCACGGATATTTCCAGATATAGAAGCAGCAAGACCTCGGTGCACAACAGGAGTACAGGCTCTATGCTTGTTAACTCGCGCAATTGAGAAAGCCAAGCTACTTCTCCAGCATTGCAGTGATTCTAGTAAGCTCTACCTGGTTTGTACCTTCGCATGATTTAGTAGAAGAAAGTAGATGGAGTGAGAAGACTGTTTATTGAATGTGTCAATATGGTGTTGGAATTGTTCCATGCTGCCCAGCCAAGTAAAAGATAACAAGATTTGGCGATCCTTGAATAAATAAGGGAGGAAGAAACATAAATAACTGCATTCTTTTCTTCCTTTTTCTAGGATGGTTTTTCTAGGGGACACTTGTTTCTGCATTAGGTTGTCATGTTTCCTAATGGAACTTACCCTTGAGAAACTTTTTTTTATGGAGCTTGCTCCAATTCCTACGGGGGTTAGTCATTTTGAAATGCAAAACCAAGGCATTTCATTTCTTGTCATATACTCAGTGCGTTTCTCCACTATGAACTCTGTACCTACCTGTCTTTCTATGGTTGATAGTTCCTTTGCATCACTTGCAGGCATTTACAGGGGATGTGATAGTCTCAAGATGTCAAAGATCAAGGAACTTGTTGGAGCAAAATTTACGCGAAATTCAGAATTGGGTTCCAGTGATGTTAGTAGCGGAGGTTTGTCAATTTACATGATTTTTCCTAATAAAAATTTACATGCTCTTTTGATATTTCTTTTTTCCCCCAATCCTACACTCCCTTCTGATGGGGGTGCTGGCCAGTGACCTGTGTGCAACGGTATAACAGTGTTCTATTATTGCTCAAGTCAAACATTCATAGAGATTCAGTGAATCAAAACAATGTTGAAGTTTTATGTCCTAGGCTTCTAGCAGCTTGTCATTTATGAATCTTCTTCTTTTTCTGGCAGCATCAAACTGTTTCTAAGTCAATGTAATTTTTGTCATATAATTTCTAATTTTCTATGTTGGTTCATACCAATTTGAGTCACAATTGTTTGGTGGAGCTGATGATGAAAGGTTATCTGCAGATCTCTCAAATAGTCGATGATCTTAAAGGTGCAACCTTTATACTGGACCCATCTGAAGAAGATGCTGGGAGGGTTGTCCGAGTATTGCTCCTTCAAGATGCTTCTCAATCAAACTCAAGGGAGGATTCTGAAATCAAGGCTCTTCAAATTGCATCTTGGAGGCTTCATATTGCATCATCAAAGGCAATGTTGATAGAGAAAAGATCTATTAAGAAGTTGCTAGATAAAGTTGGTGATAGTGACCTTCGAAACAAGCAGATTTTGACATATTTCTTGTATCTAATCAAGAAGTATGGACACTTAATAATGGGGAAGCAAGCAGAGGGGGCCTCTATGCGGCAACAAGGATCCTTGGCATCTGAGACTTCTAGCAATGGTTTGGAATATAATCAATATGCTGAAGCTGAACCATGTTAAATATAATCAATATAATCGAAGTGACATGTTGCATAGAACTGTACCTCCTGCAATAGTTTAGATTTCTTGCATTCAAATACATCATTAATCTTTTGCAGATATATATATATATATATATATATATGTATAACTATAATCTTTATCACCTCATCACAAGTCTACGTCCATCAAAGTAAATATGCATGCCTATAGGTTCCTTTTGCTTTTACCCTTATAGCTGTAATAGTCTTGCAGAGATTTTTGTCTCCCCATTGTTTCTTTTTGCTCTGTGAAATTTGATGGGGATTAAAAAGTTGTGAATGGAACACATATATTCATGTGCATCTTTATACCGAAATTCAATTCGATTTTTCATGCTTTGAGCTCTGCAGGTTGCTTGCTCCTGATTAAGGCATCTCTATCTGCTAAGCTAGCGTAAGCATGAGAATGAACCACCCTTTTAAGGGGATCAAAGTACACAAAATTCCTTCATCTTTAAATAGTTTTCTAGTGACTCTAAATCTGCTTCTTTAGTGATTCGGTTTCCAAATGATCGGCACATTGGAAAAGACCTGTGTGTTAATTAGCATATATAGACTAGTCGCATCACTTTGTACCTTTGTGATGTGGAGTACACATAAACACACCGGCACACACCATTTCTTTCAAGGATAAGTTCCACGCACCATTGTTTTTGTTGAGTGTGTTTGTATTACCTTAAAAAGTTAAGGGACCTAGATGAATTTGGCTATTCTTCCCATTGCCGATTGGTTTTTGGGTGGAATTTCAACTTTTTTCATAGTATCAAAACGATGCTTCATGTGTTGAGCCCAATGACCATACGTGCTCCCACGTCACCCAACATGTGTTGTGCGTGTTGAGTTTGTTTTACATTAAAAAGTTAAAGGCCTAGCCTTTTGTTCTTCCTCCACAAGTCGATGTTCTTGGAGGTGATAAAAGGTCTGCGGCTTGAACGGGTTGGACAAGATACAATCCAATTATTGTGAGGGATGCTGAGGGACCTGATTTGAAACATACCAACCACTTTAGGTTACTCAATTTTCAACCACTGATTTGCTTGTGCAATGTTTCTGTTCTAGAATTAGAACCATGTCTAGCTTTTTCGGAGTTGGTTTTGGTTCTGAACTGGAGTTTGGTTTCGTCGTGTGGCCTGCATATGGTTGATTTGTGGAGCCAAGAAGCTTTTGCTGCAAGATTGTCTATTGACAATTCACAATAGTTTCTGTGCCAAAATGGAAGCCTGTTCATAGCTGTTGGACAGTTTTTTCGGCCCTTAATACTTCCTATACTAAAATGGAGGCTTACAGCTTTTTATTGGAAAAATAATAGTAATAATAATTCTTTTGGAATTTATTATTTTTGTGTCTTTTGACACAAATGTATTGAGCTATAATATCATTCAGCCTGAGCATATTTTATTCTCGCATATTGTAATGTGAGCTTTCACCCGTCTCAATTCTAGCTCCTTAGGCCATCTCCAGTTATTGGCTAAAAAAAAAAATTTCTCCAACCAAGGCCCTATGCATGTGCTTTTCAAGAAGATAAATTATCAAGTGTGGCATCACAAATCAACCAAGAAATAATTCCACCACATGATTGAAAATGCTGCAAATTTAAAACCATGCTAGCTTTTAGAAGCGTTTTTTGAAAGGTGGTCGAAAGTTGGTCGATGCAAGTCATTTAGGCCAGTTAAAAGGTTATGCATGCAACGCACAGAAGAATCTTGTTGTCAAAGAAAGCTAAATCCGTCCATGCTTTCGTATGTGAGCAACTCGGAAGCGCAAACCCACAAGCCAGATAGATAAGCCCTGGCTTAGATTTTACAGTGTGAAAATGATGGGTTACAAAAAGCAAATGAGATTTAAGATCAAATTTTAAGGGCCATTGTTTTTGCACGTTGTACTTTGAAGCCCTCACACATGCACTTTGCAACATTTGGTTTGCTCCACCCAACTTATGCGATTACGTGTGGTTTGGATAAAAATATATGCTAACTTCCAGAGAGGCTAGCCAGTTTTCCTTCACATGTCAGAGGTCATGCAATTGTGACTTTGCCCAAATCTGTTAGAGGAGGAGGAAATTAGGCATGTTTCGTGGAATATTGCCAGCGGTGGTCCCAGAAATTTTTCAAGGAAGGGGCAATATTCAAAGACTAAAAGTTTAACTCAAAAAAAAAAAAAAAACCAAATACCCTGATAATTTAAACGATATTTACAAGGCTAAAAAAAATACTAATAATATTAACCAATTCACCATGTTAATTATATACAAATAAACACCACATTGAAATATTAACCAATTCACCATATTAATCATTTAATCAAACCTCAACAATTTTTATTAATTAATTAAAAACTAAAAATATATACAAATAAATAAATTCAAAAAAATGTATACGAAATAACCAAAACAAAAACTCAATCAATTAACCAAAACCCAACAATCCATCTTAATTAATTAAAGCATAAAGAGAAATTACTTTGAAATTTGAGAGAGAAATTAATTTTCCAAACAAATTGTGGAAGGTTGGTCCCTTGGTGGATGACTTATCTCTTCTGGTTTAGGAGCTGCCGTGGCTTATGCCCAATTCACAACCCTTCTTTTTCCTCTAAAATCAAATGGGTTTCTACCAAATGAATCAAAGAATACGGAGAGGGACAGAGATCCTTTCAGGGTTTCATTGCTGAATGAATGTAATGAAATTTTGAATATCCAGAAGGTCCACTGATCATATTTGATACTCGAATATTGTAATGTCAACTTGACCCCTTCTCAATGGTAGCTGTTTAGACTTGGTATAGTCTTTGAAGAAACCTTATCAATTAAAAAAATAGTCTTTGAAGAAAAGCTAAATTATAATAGTTTTTGCTACAGATTTAATTGCCTTTTTTGACCTTTCTTTTCTATGAAAGCCTTTCCTCTCTTCTTTTTTTTTCAAATTTTAAATTACCCTTTCATATTTTATTAACCAACCCAACAAATAAACATTCAGGAAATTTGTCAGTGATTATGCTGAGAATGCAACTGTTATCTTGTGAAAAGAGGAAATCCCAACAAACAAAGAAAAAAGAGACAGTTGAAAACCTCCTCAGAAATAAGATGAAGATTTACAAGCTTTTCAATGAAACGGTTGAGATTAAAAAAAAGTTGTATGAATGAGTTGAAATCTTTTGCGTCGAACGATAAAGTGTGGGCCAGAGAACGAAACAAAGTCATGTAATCAATATTTGTCCCTCGCTAGCCACTTGCTCTTTTCTTTTTTTTTGACAATTATTGCTAACGTTGGTAATTCATCATCAAAGTCATGTAATCGACAAACACATGAAACAAGTGAATATGAGCCATAAATAAGAACTAACTTAATATCTTACTTCTTCTCTCAAAATAGCTTGCATCTACCCATCATCTTCCTAATATTTTTACCAGAAAATCTACTCTAGAATCGGTTACGCTTAAAAAAAATATTACAGTTACTTATCATCTTTTAAATATTTTTATGAAAAAATATTACCATAAAGCTGGTTACACTTAAGATTTTTTCTATCACATTACTATAGAATTGAAACTCATTGTCCATATTGTTTCTTGTATCAAATGCCAATCCTCAATTCACATCAACCGATTTGACTACTATGTTAACTTATCAAGAAGATTGAGAATATTATTATACAAATTTAATTATATACCTAATCTTTAACAAGTCAGGCGTCAGCCGAGTCTGAGTGATCAGACAAGATAGGATTTGGCCATACAAGGATTGGTGTGTTTAATTCCTTCTTTTCTTGGCTCAAAGGTTATTTCCAAGAAAAGTCATTATGGTAATAATGCATTTCAAATGTTCCCTTCCCTCTACGTTCACTCGTACCCCATGCTTGTTGTGTTGAGGGCCTCTGTCCCTTGGATGCTTCTTAATCTCAGATTTTTTTCTGCTAGTAGACCCCAGGTTACCACTCACTTTGGTCACTTTAAAAGGTCCCTTTTGCTGTCATAAAGCCACACCCAAAGGCCAATGGGGTCAGGCCTTTCTGAATGGTTCTCATTCTATTTGGATTTTTTTTTCCTTCTTTCCTTGAATTAGAAAAAGAAAGGTAGATGGCTTGCAGATGAAATGGCTTTTCTTTTAGTACAAAGAATAGTATGTACAGTACATGAGAGAGGTATTTCTCACATACACAATTAAGATATTATGGGGATTTTAAATATGAAATATCTGGTTTGCAAATTAAGATCCTTTTTAACTAAGTTAAATCCTGTGGATGTGGTTTAAGTGATTAAGTTAAGAGCATTTACATTTACCTGTGTTCACTAGTTTTTTTGTTGGTCAATACTGTTTCTAGTATTTGAAGACCCTTGTTGAGACTTATTCAATATAGCCTGCGCATTTGAAAGATCAGCTTCTTTTGACGTTTTACAAATGGCCACTCAGATTCACGAGAACCCACCATCACTGCCATCGCTCCCATGTAATTAATTATCGTGAACCCACCATCACAGCCATCGCTCCCATGTAATTAATTTACAGTTTATTAACAATCATATTCTATAAGGTGGAGCCCAAGCTACCACCATTTCACACGGTAAAATTGATCACAGTCGTGACAGGCATGTCATGCTGCTTCAATGTTATGTGATGTCTGCGAGTGAGACAGAAGAACCCACTGGGTCTTTGCTCTCTCTCTCTCTCTCTCTCTCTCACTTTGTGACAAAGACGACCAGTACAACCTCACGCTCGTTGACTGCTCTCTCTCTCTCTCTCTCTCTCTCTCTCTCTCTCTTGTGTTATAGTTATTCGAAGTCTTAACACAACCAGATAAAGCTTGTGTGTTCAATTGAGTTTTTCGTTTTGTTATGTGATGTCTGCGAGTGAGACAGAAGAACCCACTGGGTCTTTGCTCTCTCTTCGCTCTCTTTCTCTCACTTTGTGACAAAGACGACCAGTAAAACCTCATGCTCATTGACTGCTCTCTCTCTCTCTCTCTCTCTCTCTCTCTCGTGTTATAGTTATTCGAAGTCTTAACACAACCAGCTAAAGCTTGTGTTTTCAATTAAGTTATTCGTTTTGTTTGTAGTGCAAAGACTCGGTTGCCCCTAGACTCCAACTGCTAGTCTCCCTTGTGGGCATGCTTTACTTTCTGTGATAAAGATTACCCCTTTTTTTCCTGGGTTGTTTTCTGCTTTGGATATAGAAGCGACGCACTTTGATTGGGGCTCCTTGCGTGGTTTTCTGGGCTTCTTAAAAGTTTGTGTAAAAATACTGTTTGTTCTTTTACTTTCTCATATATGGGATGGTTTATCAGTACAAGAAGCTGAATTCTGCTTGAAATTTGACAACTTCTTTGAGAATTCTTGTCGTTTAAGAGCTAGTCTGTAGGCAGTGGGTACTTTTGTGTTATTGTAGAGACTTGGAGTTTCAAGGGGTTGTGAAAGGTGGATATATTGGAGGCCATATTTTGTGGGTTATATGAATTGGGTTGTGGTTATTTTCAATTTTTAGCGTATCTTTGTGGGCTGAAGACTGAGGAAGGAGCTTGTGAACGTAGCTCTACTTTCTGTGTCACTTGGTGAGTCCATTTTTTCTTATTTTTGTTTTTCTTAGATAGTTGTCATCAACTTTGGTCTCTATTTTATAGATGGCTCAAGTTATAGCATACATCAGATCAGAGCTTCCTAATATCTAGCTTCATTGGTATGTTATATAAAAAAAGAAGCAAAACAGAGATTGAAAGGGTCCTGGACAAGTTTTTGCAGTCTTCAACTTTATTCTCAAAATCTATCAAATAGCTCCAACTCAAGTATAATTCAAATGATGAGTGGGCTATAACTTTGTGATTTATAACAGTAATAGTTGTTTAGGTGGGAAATAGAAAATCTTTAATATAAAGCACAATAAGATTGCATGTACTTAAAATTGTCAGTCATGAATGCTGATACATGAATCTTTGTGGTGAAATGATTCCAAACAGGAACATTACCCAGTTGAAGCAATCAAATATGGTCTTCTGCAATGATTATTTGGTTCCCAAATTCTGTTACTGGTTAAATTTCTTTTCTGCCGCATATATTTGAAAATGATTTTGTTAGGACCTCTACCAAACTCTGCAAATTGTTCTTGATATGGGAGTGTGAAAAACTTTATAATCTAATTTTAAGTTGAGTGTTTCTTTTTTATGGATTCTTGACGGTTCCCGTTCATTATTTGCATAATTGATGCCTTAACTCGAAAATAAAGTTTTGCAATTTGCTGTTGCTTAGAACTTGTACCGAAGTCACATTGTTTTGCATACGGGATCTATGTTTACAGAATGCTGACATGTAACTGTTTCACAATATTAGATTTTCTGCATAATATGTACAGAGATATGGTTGAAACATATGAAAGTAACCATCTTTTTCTTGTTATTGAATACCCAGATATGAGATAATTCCTCTTGAATGGGTACTGATGCTGCTGAAGGGGTGGAGACTGTGAGAAAACCCCATTCCTTTAAGGTGTGATATGCCACACTAGTTTCTTATTTTGTTTCATATGGGATGTCCAACTTTGAATATGCATTCACCTTGTAGTTATGGATTCAATGTCTGATCAGCTTTAATCACATATGACAAGAAACAACCTTTATTTTTATTTTTATACATATATATATTTTTAAAATTTAACAAAACTAATGAAACTGTGAATTGCTCTAGTTTGTATTTGCTTTGATGTATGAAATATAAAGTTCAAATGTATACAAAGTGTAGTTTTATACATCTTCCCAACTAATAGTTGGTTTTTGAAAGGAAGATAATAGCTGTTGAGCTTCCAGTAGCTGATATAAAACTTGGGACAAGAAAAGCCACGCAAAAACTTGTACTGATATTTCTTCAAGATGACAGAATATGACCCTAATAATATTTCTGTATTTTGCGTGGAAAAACAAAAAGAAACGTTAGAGTGTATCCAATTGAGAACTAGTATTAGGAAAATGACAAATGATAAGGGTTCCTTGTAAAACCTAATGGATTCTCTAAGGAATCTCAGACTTGAGATAGTTGTGTCCTTGAACATTTTAAGTGCATTTATCTAATTGTGTGGTCATATTAGTTGGATTTTTACAAAATTGTTATTCATGATAACAGGTTCATCGTTTGATGTGCACGGAACTTATGAAGTTGGTAGATAGAATTTCACGGATATTTCCAGATATAGAAGCAGCAAGACCTCGGTGCACAACAGGAATACAGGCTCTATGCTTGTTAACTCGCGCAATTGAGAAAGCCAAGCTACTTCTCCAGCATTGCAGTGATTCTAGTAAACTCTACCTGGTTTGTACCTTTGCATGATTTAGTAGAAGAAAGTAGATGGAGTGAGAAGACTGTTTATTGAATGTGTCAATATGGTGTTGGAACAGCAACTGGGATTGTTTCATGCTGCCCAGCCAAGTAAAAGATAACAAGATTTGGCGATCCTTGAATAAATAAGGGAGGAAGAAACATAAATATCTGCATTCTTTTCTTCCTTTTTCTAGGATGGTTTTTCTAGGAAACCTCTACACTTGTTTCTGCATTAGGTTGTCATGTTTCCTAATGGAACTTACCCTTGAGAAACTTTTTTTATGGAGCTTGCTCCAATGTCTACGGGTTAGTCATTTTGAAATGCAAAACCAAGGCATTTCATTTCTTGTCATATACTCAGTGCGTTTCTCCACTATGAACTCTGTACCTACCTGTCTTTCTATGGTTGATAGTTCCTTTGCATCACTTGCAGGCATTTACAGGGGATGTGATAGTCTCAAGATGTCAAAGATCAAGGAACTTGTTGGAGCAAAATTTACGCGAAATTCAGAATTGGGTTCCAGTGATGTTAGTAGCGGAGGTTTGTCAATTTACATGCTTTTTCCTAATAAAAATTTACATGCTCTTTTGATATTTCCTTTTTCCCCCAATCCTACACTCCCTTCTGATGGGGGTGCTGGCCAGTGACCTGTGTGCAACGGTATAACAGTGTTCTATTATTGCTCAAGTCAAACATTTATAGAGATTCAGTGAATCAAAACAATGTTGAAGTTTTATGTCCTAGGCTTCTAGCAGCTTGTCATTTATGAATCTTCTTCTTTTTCTGGCAGCATCAACCTGTTTCTAAGTCAATGTTATTTTTGTCATATAATTTCTAATTTTCTATGTTGGTTCTTACCAATTTGAGTCACAATTGTTTGGTGGAGCTGATGATGATGGGTTATCTGCAGATCTCTCAAATAGTCGATGATCTTAAAGATGCAACCTTTATACTGGACCCATCTGAAGAAGAGGCTGGGAGGGTTGTCCGAGGATTGCTCCATCAAGATGCTTCTCAATCAAACTCAAGGGAGGATTCTGAAATCAAGGCTCTTCAAATTGCATCTTGGAGGCTTCATATTACATCATCAAAGGCAATGTTGATAGAGAAAAGATCTATTAAGAAGTTGCTAGATAAAGTTGGTGATAGTGACCTTCGAAAAAAGCAGATTTTGACATATTTCTTGTATCTAATCAAGAAGTATGGACACTTAATAATGGGGAAGCAAGCAGAGGGGGCCTCTATGTGGCAACAAGGATCCTTGGCATCTGACACTTCTGGCAATGGTTTGGAATATAATCAATATGCTGAAGCTGAACCTCATGTTAAATATAATCAGTATAATCGAAGTGACATGTTGCATAGAACTGTACCTCCTGAGGAATTTTTATGCGGAATATCTTCCAGATTGATGTATGATCCTGTTGTTATTGCTTCTGGACAAACATACGAAAAGAAGTGGATACAGAAGTGGTTTGATGAGGGTCATGATACATGCCCGAAAACTCATAGGAAGCTCACCCACCTGTCATTTACTCCAAACGTTGCCATGAAGGAGTTAATATCAAGGTGGTGTACAGAGTGTGGAGTGACCATTCCTGACCCTAGTATGCAACCAGAAACCCTCTCATGGGAAACCTCCTCCACTTCCATTGCTAGTTTGGGCAGTTCTATGAATGATATACATCTGCAAATGGATCTCAGCAATGTATCATTTGGATCCTTAGATACTAGTTACAATTCAGATTCTTCACGCACAAAGATAGAAAGTGGCTTGAGTTTGGTGCAGGAATATGACGATTCTCTGAAATACGGGTATGCTAAAAATTGTGAGACAGATTTGGAATTTCTATCTAAACTTGGTGAGCTCCCATGGGAATCCCAATGCAAGGTTGTTAAAGATGTCAAAAGCCATTTGAAATGCAATCCTCAAGCTTCTTACTCTATGTCATCTAAGAATTTTGTTAATCCTCTCATCAAATTTTTGAGGGATGCCCATGACCTGGATGATGTAAAAGCTCAGAGAGATGGATTTAAATTAATGTTCAACTTTGTGAGCAAAAACAGGTAAATTTATATTTTGTAGCTGGGAATTCTTGCTGTAGTCATTTCTTGACTATGTCATTACTCTCTTATTGACTGTGCTCTTGCTTTTGCTTATGGGTTGGTTTATAATTTTTTTCTTTTAATTTCCTTCTTGTTGCCTAATGTAGAAATGATATACCGTACTTACATGAAGAGGCATATACTCTGCTGGCATCTTATCTTGATTCAGAGGTCATAGAAGTTGTTCTTGCCATATTGGAAATTGTGTCTGTTCAACAGCATTGCAGGTCTAATATCTCAGAGTCTGGTGCACTTTCATCCATTCTAAAACTCCTTGATTCCCAGATCAAAGATATACAAGAAAAAGCCATTAAGGTTTTGTATAATTTGTCCTTAAACAGAGACATTTGTCCAAAAATTGTATCTTTGGAGTGCATCCCAAAACTGGTTTCCTTCTTTAAAGATGACGCTCTTGCAGGAAACTGCATTTCCATATTGAAAAATTTGTGTGATACTGAAGAGGCCAGGATTTCCATTGCTGAAACTAGCGGATGCATTGCTTCTATTGCTGAAGTACTTGAGACAGGCAGTAGTGAGGACCAAGAGCATGCTGTTGCTATCCTCCTTTCTTTATGCTCTCAGCGTGTTGAATTTTGTCACTTGGTCATGCATGAGGGTGTTATCCCTCCTCTTGTCTTTTTATCTAACAATGGGAAAGAGAGAGCAATGATAAGTGCATTGGAAGTGCTACGTCTCTTAAGAGATATCGATTACGTTGATGAGCAAGAATGCTCTGGATCTGACCTTGATGCATCTAAAGACAATGACAATCACTCTGCTGGAAAGAAGTTGTCAAAGACATCAGGATTCTTTGGACGGTCAATGTTCAAGTTCTCAAAAACCAGTTCGCTTGCACCGAAAAAGAAGAAATGAAGCCAATGTCTGTTAAGGTTCATTGCTTCTAGCTCGGAGAGCTTTGTGGTCTTAAAGCTGAGTTAAGGTATCATCATGTCATATGTAAATATAGTAGGAAGTTGATTGGTTTTTTCGGTCATACTAATTTCGACGTAGTTTTTATCAGGTTTTTAGAATTCAGCTAAGATTAAGACTCAGCTTTTAATCTTCATTCATAGTGTATCTTCTACCCTTTTGCAGCTGCATACTCCATAAAAATTATAGAATGATGTTATTTGATGTGCTTGTGAAAATTGAATCCCTTTTCTCATTGCATTTGTGTGTACTTGTGGCTTGACAGATTTTGCATTCATAATCATATATGTATTGCCTAGTACACTGTTGCAGCCTGCTGGAAAGGATGAAATTTAGAGAAGGAAGATGCTATGGAATCCAATATTTTTGCCAGCTCTCTTACATGAACCATCATTCCATGTCATTCTTAAGAATGAGGCATATCAAACATGTTCAATAGGCCAATATTGATTTGGCAAAAAGAAAAAAGAAAGAAAAAAAAGGTAAATATTGATTGGTGGGTATTAATTGAGAACCTTTTCAATTTTAACGAGCCAATAGCAGAGTTGGCAAAACCTTGGCTAAGTGATGATGGTGGAAGGCTGATCACCATCATGAAACACATTAATCCTCACTTTTGAAACAAGAAAAAAAAACAAAAACAAAAAAAAAACTCAAGAATATTGGATCAAAATTGCAACTTCATTCAAGATCACTGGGAGAGAAGAAATACTATTGGGATCGATTGATCCCACTGAAGTTGCATATGATTCTGTACTTTGTGGAATCGAATAAAGGACTTTGAATAAATATATAAATCCTTTAACCGATTGAGCTCCGAGACCCTTATTCATCAACTTTGATTATTCATGAATCAGAAGTAAAAACTGGTGAATGAAAAATTACGTCATATGATCATAAGCAATTACGTCATAAAGTTATGTGGTTTAATTTCGCATAAAAAAACCTTCATAAAAAAAAATTTCGGAGTAAAAAATAAAAGAAGTTAGGTGGTTTGGTATTCTAATTAATATATGTATGAACTATATGGGCCGATATCATCATAAGCTGGAGTAGCTCAGTTGGTTAGAGCGTGTGGCTGTTAACCACAAGGTCGAAGGTTCGAACCCTTCTTCTAGCGTCACAATTTTGTCCATTTTCTCTTTTTAAAACCGCCAAATTAACCAGCGCCTTTTACATAAACCTGAAGTCTAAAACACTACGAGAAATTACAATTCAAATTTTCAAAATCATCAACAGAGGCGCTTCATTTTTGCAGACTTTTTATTTTTATTTTATGATATAAAGGGTTTTGCTTTGATTGATTGTTCGCATCAGGCTGCTCTTTAAGCTAGGGTTTGGGGTTTTTGGTACTTGATCAAATTAGGGTTTTTCTTTTCTTCTTCCTGTTCATAGAAGAACCATAGAAGAAGAGGCCATGGCGACAGAATCATCAGAGGGAGAAGAGGAAGGGAAGCTGACAGGAGGGAACCAAGTGCTAACAGTGGACGATGATCTCAGAGAAATGGGCAAGAAGGCCGCTTGGAGTGTCAGCTCTTGCAAGGCCGGCAATGGCGTCTCATCTCTCCGTGACGACAATCTTGATACTTATTGGCAGTCTCTGCTTCAATTCTCTTTTCCTTTCTTGATCCCTCAAAAATGCGAAAATGCAAAATGAAAACTTATAATTGTTTTGTTCTTTTTTGCTTCGTTTGCAGATCGGATGGTGCGCAACCTCATTTAGTAAACATTCAATTCCAGAAGAAAGTGAAGCTCCAAGTATGTGTGAAAGTTTCTATCTTTTTAGTTATTTAAAAATCCAAAATTTGATTTTGACTAATGGGTTTTGTTTTTTCTCACAAAAAAAAAACAAAACAAAATCAGCTTGTTGTTCTCTATGTGGATTTCAAGCTTGATGAGAGCTATACACCTTGTAAGATCTCAATTCGTGCCGGGGATGGCTTCCACAACTTGAAGGTAATATGTTTGTCTCCTCCTGTTTGTCTACTTGAACGATTATATTACGCATCTCCTTTTCTGCTGTACTGCTATGTGATCTTGGCTAAGACTCAATTTGATTAACTTTGGCTATGGTGCTGCAAATGTTTTTAGGACATAAAAACTGTTGAGCTCGATAAGCCAACTGGTTGGGTTCATATATCATTGTCTGGAAATGATCCTAGGTAAGCAGTGAAAGCATTATTCATTTTTTAAGCTTTAGTAGTTACCTGGATTGCATATTTCTCCTTGTTATTCCTGGGTTGTAGTTTTGTTTACAACATTGTTGCATCTTTGCATGAAATTATAACTTGACGAGCGGTGGCTCAACAAGGTTCAATTGCAAGAGCTTACATGAATAACATGTAGAATATTATTGTTAAGAAATTCAGAACTTGATAGCTGTTGCGTTCTTCTTGATTTGATCTCTAATACCTCACTGAATAATAATTGGAGCTCAACTCTTTTTTCTATTCTGTCACATGGAGGACCTTAATGCTGGGAAAAAAATTTGGTTCAGTAACATCCTCCTATTTCAGTTTATGGTGTGACAAGTATTGATGATTGATGAATCAAAGATAAGCGAGTTGAATAAATTATATGCTTTTGCCCTTATATGTGGTTCAATGACATGATGGTGAAATATGTTTGCATGTTGATATGTTTGAGGAATGAGATATGCTTAAAGAAATATTTCCCAGAATAGATCCATATATGGCGATGATGTTTAATTTCTTGAATTGATTTTCAAGTTTTGAAATGTTTGCCAATATGTTTGCAGGGAAACTTTTGTCAATACTTTTATGTTGCAAATCTCCGTGTTATCAAATCACCTTAATGGAAGGGACACTCATGTGCGGCAGATCAAAGTTTACGGCCCTCGACCGTGCGTCTCCTTATCTTTTTCTTGCTCGTTAATTGCTGATTATGATAAATATTGTGTGATTCTTTGTTTATGTTTTCCATTTTATTTGTACGGCGCAGGAACCCTATTCCGCATCAGCCATTTCAGTTTACTTCAAGAGAGTTCATCACCTATTCTTCTGTGAGATGAGAAATGTGACCTGGCATAGAAAGAAACAGATGGGAAATGTAATATCTGTAACATTATGATGTAATGTCCACCGGTAATGAAAAATGTTGTTTGGTACTTTTATGGCATGATTTGAATTTTCATTTGAGTTCTCTAGAACAGCTTTGAGTTTTTGTTTGTTCTTTTGGTTGGGGTGTGAGCTGTGCCTAGGCCTACATTGCCTACATGAAACATCGTTGTCCAGCAGTATTAGAATATTAAACAATAAAAACATCATTGACCATCGAGCTCAGACTTGAACTTTTTTTTTGGGTCAATGCTCAGACTTGAACTTTAAGTAATGAGCTTTTGGATAATACCAGTTATGAGATGCTAAGCCATAATATAAAGCAAGAATCCATGTCGTTTACAAAATTAAGTATGTGTCACTTAAAAGTGCCAAGCATGACTCATGCAAATCTCTTTTTTCAACCTTTTCAAATGTGATTTTACTTTAGATCTACGACTTTTTTAAGCGTATCGCTTTTGTCAGATTTGCTTCATCATCCGTTGAAAATGCTGTCACACAAGCACATATCATTCCCATTTCCGCAAGGATCAAGGATAGGGAAAGTTCTACAATGCTGGGATTGTCTGGATGTTGATCCAAGTTAAAAGTGTAAATGAAAGCCATGGGAATTTTACAATCTGTATGGATTCTGGGCCATGCATCATAGAACAACCCTATATAGATAGGGTTCATTTTGCTCCACATAAAACAGCTTACAAGTCAAATTTGGGATTGGCTGCTTTCAGAAAAAAGTCAATTGATTGAAATAGCTGTGAATTTCAGCAGTACATGATCGAGCATTACGAACTTCTTGGTAGAGCATGCATATGGTTCAGAATTAAATGACAAAATTCAGGAAATGACGATCATGTTCTACACTCAAGTGTCATTCACAAGCTGGCTTGGTGTCGAAGCTGCTTAAGCAGATTGCAAATGCCTGGAAGCAGGACAGGGGGTAGCGATAATCCACGGTGAAGATGTCTTTTCCAATCTTTCCAAACTGTAGGATTACCCTCTCTTGTTCTTCAGCTGAAACATTGAGGGATGGGTCAACAGCTGCAACAAGCTGGAAATTTTTTACAGAAGCCACCGTAACACGCCCTCTAAAATTAAGGCACCAGCACTGTAACTGCTCATGCCACCTAGGGGACTTATTTTTCAAAACCAGCGGTTCTGCACCCTGGACATGTGGCTCAGAGAGGTTTGTAGAGCTGTAACCAGTGACTAGCTCCTTCACTGTTGAACAGGGTGAGGGAGCAAAGTGCTCATCATAGGCTTGTGAGAACAATGTTGGTGTTGGGGCGGTGCCCCCCTCCTGAATAGAAGAGACAGGAATAGAGGGCATGGCACAGTGCATTCTCCTTGGGCCTCTTGTGCGGAGAATATTGAGCTCATAACAGACGGTTCCAACACTGTAGTTACATGCTGGTACTCTTGGAGATACCTGCTTAGAATGGAACCTTCGAGATGATCGACTATTTGTTTGAGGTACTGCATCACACGGAGGCTGGCTGTCATATACGGTGAACTTGGTACCCAAAAAGTTGGACCTGGAAAAATTGTTTTTTGAATAAGTTGTCAAGAGCATAGCTAATGAATAACTTGACAAAGATATTTGTAAGTGTAACAGCGCACACTTGCCTCAATTTACCAACATAAGTACTGCTGGCTCGAGAAAAATCATCTGCAACCAAAGATATAATGAACTCTGTGCTTGTTGCCCTTCTAATCCTTTTGGCCGCTAACAATAATTTATCTTTCTCACCCTCAGCTGTCAATTTAATAATATTAGTGAACGCCACATTTCTTTTCATCAATATATTTGAGGAAAATTTTATGTGGTGGATAATTTAAAACGAGAATGATGGAAAGAGCAAATAACCCCTAGGAGGAGACTTACAAGGCACTAGACCGTAGTGCAGATAAAATGTGGAAGTTTCTCTATCCCTTCTAATGAAGCATTGTATTGGAGACTGGCGAGGCCCAGGCTACACAAAGCAGACCAAATTAACACTATTTCAGAGGAGGCAATCAGTACATGCAAACACAAACTTTAGGGGAAGAAGTAAAAAGCAACACCTGCTTCAATGAGATTGGAAATGTGAGCCTTCCGCATTGCTCAGGAGTTTTGACAATCTCCCTCACAATGGCCCTCCATGACTTACAAACTGAAGCACAAGAAACAACAACAGCTCGAGCAGGCCA